AAGCGCTTGGACATTCTTAAAAGCTACGCTATTTTCGGGGGCGTTAGAGGCATCTCCTTTGGGCTCCTGAGCAACACCTGGTTGAGCAGGCTCACTCGTAGTCGAACCTTCGCGATGAGGCGCAGGCACGGCTAAGCTTGTTTCTGCATTCGCGGTTCCAGAAGATTCATTAGGTTTTTCAGAGCCCAGGCCAGTTAGCTGCACTTTCGTTGCCTGGTCCCAGGTGTCAGGTATATTCTTCTCTAGTAGAATTTCCTCCCACACACAAGCCGCATGCAAACCTCCGAGTCGTCCGATAAGAGAACAATAACGATCGGCTAGATTGACTTGTGCAAATGCAGAAGTCTGCTGGCTGGGTCGGGTCTGATATAATGGCATGGAGTAAACTTCGCGGAGAAGATCCGTTAAGATAAGTGCAGCCACCATATTCTTAGCAAAGTATGTCCCATTATCTTTTGCGAGCTCCCAGGGCTTGTCGTCCTGTTCCTTGGGCTCTTTCTCAAGAAGTGGCTTGATCAGAGGGGTGAAGAAACCTGATTCCCGGGGTCCCGACAGACACCAGAACTCAGATAGTTGTTCCACAATCTGCTCTGCGCGATCAACAAGCCCGGGCAAGACAAGGTGAGGCTTCGTTTCCGCCAACATGTGCACCAAAACAGTGAGCTCCTGGTTAGCATCAGTGTTGTGGAAATCGAATGGGAGACTTTGCAGCGTCGCAATATCCAAAACGAATTCCACACCACCACATTCGATAAAGTAGGTGCAATTCGATTGGTTTTCAAAGAAAGCACCTAAGAATCGCAATACGGGGTAAAGGTAGTCTGTAACAGTGAGACCTGTAGAGTCTACGTCCTTCGGTTCGATGTCAGTATTAGAGGCTGGGAGAACATGGCTTAAATCGCCGGTTTTCATGGTGCCACCGTCTGGTAGTGCCCCAGATTTGATCTCCCGAATACCAAGATCCGACGGTGCAATGTCCCCATCGACTCTCGTGACACCAATCTTTCGAAACAGATGATGTGCTGGTCCGGAAAGTACCGGCTTCCCTAAGGTGTTATCTGTCCACAGCTTGGATCCCATACCATCCGACCAAGCCTTGCTCCTGCACAGAAAGCCAACACGTGCGACCATCACAATGACGGCAGCCATAATTGTTGACTTCAGCGCAGGGTGATGCCGTACTAACTCATCAAACGTGGTTCCTAGCGAACGTACGAGGTTAGGGTCATCTTTCAGGCATTTCACATGCTCGGGATTTTCGAAGATCTCGAAAAAGCTTTCCAAAGCATGGGATGACTGAAAGAGTTCAAGTCCAGATGAGTTAAGGCAAATAGCTCCAAAAGCCGAAGGAATGCATGATAAAGCTTCCGCTGCGGGCATGATACCTAAGGCTAACTTAGCGCCCTTTGGCCTTGCCAGCTCATACTCACGGGTCTTCTGTGGCTCACTGCCCGGCGGGCTAGTGTCGACCTCGGACAGTCTAGTAGTTGATTCCCCTTCAACTTCAGCACCCTCAGTACCAACAGGTAACTTCTCGTATGCCTTTATCTCACTGTGTGTGACAGCTTGTAGAAAGCTCTTGCTCAACCCAGCCTCAGCAATGACTGCATAACTAGTGGGCTCGTTGTGAATGAAACTACTAAGGATATTGACTGCGTTGCTCCAGACATGAGACCCAAAGACACGGGCGTTCTCAAAGACCAAACGAAGGGACGTCAGCAGTTGAGGTGAGTCAATCAAATTCCGAAGAACACGATCAAAACCACCGCCGTTATGCTGCATAATATGATTGACAAACCGGAACATCCACCTGAGAGTCTGCTGCTGAAAATACGGGATCTGATAATCAATTGATGGGGTCTTGTGATGAGAAGGAATTCCTGCGCCGCGGGATACATTCTCAAAGGAGGTTTTGGTTTCAAAATCGATCAAATCCGAAATTGCATCAAACCCCTTGGCTGTAGTGAGAGTCCCAAGCGCATCACGAACCGCGTGGACAAAGGTATCGAGGAATTCCATAATTCGAGAATAAACACGACGAGCCTTCTCAGTTCGGAGGTTCAAAACATCGACAAACATGGGAATTAAGCCAGCAGAAACAAGGGTCTCGGGTGTCCTCGTGCTTGAGCCAGGAAGCGTTCGCAGAAGCGCAAGTAACGCATCCCGCCACTCATCCTCACTACCATCATCCGTCCTACTGTCTTCTGAGCCTAATTCATTGACAGCCTTCCGGGTCAGGAACATGAGAACACCATGGTTTACATTAACGCTTAATGCAGCACAGACATCGATTGCTCGTGATTTGTGTTTGGCCAAAGAGTCAAGCGTCTGGAGTACCAATGTCTGTACACTTCGAGAGACTGGAAGGTCACCACTTGCGCCCAGATGAACCAGCTCGCCCAGTTGATAAGCCAGCTGCAAACGTTTTGGCTGTTCCATGTCGTACTGGAGGATCTTCTGTTGAAATAGTGACTCAGGATATACGTACGCCAAGTTGGTGATGGCAAGCACCCTGATGGCAAGAACCTGTTCGCGGCTAGAAGGAGATGTTGACAGCCCCTGAGCCGTCCGAATTCTGTGGAGCAGCTCATATTTGGAGTCGTCAGGCAACTCTTCCACATGCGATGCAACAAGACTATCGGGTGGCGACGAATAGATCCTTGAGTATGGAATATCAAGAACCTTTCCGCCCCTTGTCGCTTCTTCCAGTTTTCCTGAGGGTGTATTCACAGCAGAGCTAGGAGAATCCTCCATGATCGAGGTGCGGCTCAAACGAGGCGTGGGGTGGGTATGACTTCTACGCAGAGGTGTTGGCGTGGTAGGAGTTTGCGTCGGTAACCCACCATGTACAGCCTCCGATGTTGGCTTCGCCTGGTCTGAAGTGCCAGAAGGATAATAAAGCAGATGCACATGACCCCACTCTTCCCAGCCATCACTTTCGCGCACAAGGGTGGCCAGGTCGTTGGCGTCGTGCTTGATTTGAGATCCTTTCTCCTTGCCTTTAACGCCAACAGGAGATACAGGTGTCTTGTTGAACACGGAAGGGCGCGGGAAAGGCGCAGCAATCTTTTGCAGTTTTTCCAAATCGATGTTAAAGTGGGCTGCCAGGAGGCTCTGTTGGAGGTGGGTACTACCCCGCTGGCGAGAATGATATCTTTGAGCCAAAGAGAGTGACAAACGAAGGGTAGACTGAAGGAGACAAAGTGACGTGGTATTCAGAAGCTCCCCTAGCCGTTCGCTGCTGCTATACAAGCTGCGGTTACCGCACTTATCCAACAGTAATCTGGAAAAGTCGAGAATTGCTTCCAAGAGCTCTCTGTCACCCTCTACACCATAGCCAAGAGCGGTTAACTTAGCATCGATATCCTCCGGGTTTGGTTTGTTGTCATCGCTTGCATAGGAGTCCGCCAGGACATGTCTGCGGAATGGCTTGGTTTGAGGGCCATTATTTAGACCATATTTTTCATTGACCGCAGCCAAGATCTCGTCGAAGCGGTTCAGAACATTGATCCAATGATATAGATCACCTCTTGGGAAAGGCCATATGCGAGGAAAGGTGCTGAGATGTGAGGGAAGCTCGGGGACGGGTATAGTTGTAGCACGAGATACGAACTCTGACAAATAAGGGGACTATATTGTAAAGGAAAAAATTTCAGCTCAGCTTTAAACCAACACGGAAAGGCACGTGGAATTATAACTCACGATCGTAGCCTCATGTTTTTGGCTCGCCACCTTCTTAATTCTCCCCATGATGACGTTCAAATCAACAGGTAATCATGAGGGAGCTGAGGATGGCCCCAGGAGGATTCCTCCTAGATGAGGGTGGGGAGGTCGTCAAGACCGGGACGCGGAGAACGTTGCGAGGCGCCTTATGACGTTTTGGGTACCTCTTCTGCCTCAACAAAATCAAAAGAGCGCAATGAGACTCCGGGACAGCTGTAACCAAGAATCTCGAGATTGCAAGTAGGTTGAATAGCGACTGTAGAGGTAAAGTCCGGCGTGGTCAAAGATGTTATGCCCGGATGGATTCAAAGGACTGAAAGAATATGATGAGGGACTGAGGCGGGTGTGTTGCGGCTTTCAGTAAGTACGAAGTACCGCTGGGCGTCAGAGGAACAGGGAAACGGTGCAGGTCGTTCGCCCTGTAATGTTTGACATCCAGATTGAATTAGGACAATATTAGGTGAAAGAACCACACACGATGAACAAGGGGAGGCTGGTGAGGGAGAGGACGTGGGCAAGGTTTGGATGGGCTATAAAAAGAAAGATGAGTAAAGAGTTGGAAGGTTCGTGAAATTATCCCAATAATGGAGCTCTTCTTGTCAGGTTCTCTCCCGTTGTGGCTCGTTCACTGGACTAGTGGTAAACTTACAGTCAGAACCGGAGCGGGTCTTCTTCCCCGCCGAGGCAACAAGTCAGCCCTGCCCTATTTACAACTTTACTTAACTGATACTAACTAGTTACTTTACTGCCTAAACATTTTACTTCTAATTTTCCGACGAATTCACTCTCATCCGAATATACCAGCAGACAATATATTCGACTTCACTGGGCTGGGAGTAGCCACTTCCTGGGAGTAGTACACTTCCTCATACACTGTATCTGTATTCTCTCGGTTTGATTTCAGCTGTTCGTTCCTGGTATTTCAGGCCAGTCATAATATATATTCATGTCACTACCCCTCATCCCACCGGAATCTTTCTACTATTCTACCTGATATTTCATGCATCCTTATGCTGTCATCCTCCTCTCTCTCTCTCTCTTTTCTCCCTACAAGAAAGTTCAAATGATGCTCAAGAAGCAAGATAAAACTATGTATAAAACCCCCACCTAAAGCTAATTTGGCGGAGAAAATCTCAAACTTATTTCCGTGGTGCCTTACTGTACATAACAAATCAACAATCAGGTAATAACACAGTCAACAGTACAACAGTGCAGCATTTTTAGTATATATCCAAAAGAGGCAGGTTATCAACATTGCGTTTAAAATAGGCCGGACGTTACCTCTCCATTTGCGGCAATTCACCATCCCACTGAATCTTCATGCTAGTTGGGAAGGGAGAAAATCCGCTTTGGTCTGGAGTCATATACTTCGCAATTCCACCAGGCCCAGATAGCCTTTTCAGCTGCCCCTGAGGCCCTGGGGCACGGCGCAGATTATCCAAGCGTCCGATGACCTTGAGCATGGTGGTAAGTGCTAACTTACAAAGCCCAATACCTAAGCACTGATGTGGACCAAATCCAAAATGGGCGTAGAGACCCATATCGCGATCCAGTCTGACCTTTTCAGGCTCTGGAAAACTTGCCGGGTCCATAGAAGCGGAAACCTAGAAAAGTGCAAACAATAAGTTACCTGTGCCCACAATACTCGTGTTTTGTTTCATTTAGGATATTGGCCTCACTCACCAGGTTGCAGAGAATGTGTTGCCCTGCCTTGAAATTTAGCTTCTTACCGTTGTCTTCAACGACAGTGGGCTTGGCCACCATCCGAGGCAGTCCCACGGAAGACCGTAACCGGGCGCCTTCCATGAAGCTTCACATGGTTAGTAGCTAACAAGGATACTGGGGCGAGAAATCCATACTATCTTAACAGCAGTTCGTCGGTTTCCGGTGTGTCAACCTTTGCCAACCGTTTAATATCAGGCAAATGGACCGAGCCTTCTTCCGAAAGGTAATAGTCTAGACATTGTGAAAAAAGCTGCGCTTGGTTTGCCACCATGCCCCCAGCAGTTGGCAGGATATGAGTCCATACAATCTCATCTGCTGGCAGGCCGCTGGCAAGGAGGCGTTGGATCATATGGACACCGTATTCACTGAGCACATCATGTCGGTGTAAACTACTGACCAAGTTCGCAATGAACCCAGTGTTGTTAACAAGCTCGACATTGGCCATTGCCAACTGCCCGAGCTGCTGCGTCACTTCCCGGGCAGCTTGGTTAAGTTCAAATGAGTTCGCAGGATCCGCATCGTAGAAAATTGAGGTGAAGACAACCGCCATGATCTGGTAGAGTTCGGATTCCGTGAACACTCCCCGGGGGTTAGATTCAGTCTTCAAAGGCAATGAAAAAACATTTGCGCAGAAATGAACCTGAGCAGGATTTGCAACATCTCGTACAACGTCAATTTGATTGGTCCCAGCAATCTTGTAAGAATTTCTGTGCAGAAGCTTCAGAGTTATGTCCTCATAGAATTCTTTGATCTCATTCTCCCATCTCTTCCGGTACAAAGCAGCTCCCATCATTTTGCGCGATGCGGTATTTGGAGGCCTATCCCCGGACAACATAAAGTTTCTGCCAAAAGGCTGTTCTCCACGGTGCATCAAATATTCAATCTTTAAGCCCCATGTGACCTTGAATGTCTCTGGATCAGACAATATTGACATACAAGCCGAATGAGAGCTAATAAACTTGGGTGGAGGAGTGTGGCCAGGCTTGTCCCAGCTGTATTTCTCAGCAAACCCAAGTTTTGTCAGTATCTTCTTGTTTTCAGTTGGAATAACCAGAGGGAGATGTGCGTAGATCGAGTTTCCCTTGAAATGGTTTGGGAATGCTCGCAACACAAGCTTATAGAATACATGTCCTTGATCGACCGAGTCTTTAGGTTCAATCTCGCTAAAGGCCCAGTTTGTAAGATGCCTTGGAGTGAAATCGACTGTGTAGAAGCGATCACCTCGGACCAAGGCAACTGCATCGGAGAGAATGGCTCTTGAAATTGTGAAATTCGTACACAAGCCACTTCCAGGGACCACGGCTTCCTTGGTATCCTCGACGATAACACCAGGGTAGATCTCCACATTGTCTGGGTGATCATATAATCGTTTGAGCTGATCAGATATGAAAGGGTCAGGATTGATCTCCTTAAAAGTTTTGTAAGGGGCCAGGTTAAAATAGTTCCGAAATTCGTTCAAGGTAGCCAAATTCCAGGAGCGAGCTTGTTTAATCCCCAACGCTTCAATACTTCTGAAGATCGTTGGAACGTTAGATGCACCAAATGCGCCTACACAGTCCTCAACGCTGTCCTCAAAGATTTTGACGAGACAGTCATCGTCAAAGGATCCATCAGGCTTGCGCTGTAAGCCTGCAAACGGACGATCCTGGGGTTGCTCTGGAAGGTCTGCTTCCCACTTTCCAAGACCGCGTACAAACTCCTGCAAGGAGACACTGTTCGGATCCCTTCCAGGAAACATATCTTTGTACAAATCTTCAGTCCACTTCTCGTCACGCTGAGAAATGCAAGAATGCCATCTGTACACAAGGTTGAATTCAGCCGAGACTTGGTTACCTGTAGCCTGAGCTGCTGCTTCGCCAAGCAATCCATCCTTCATTTCAGCACGGGGGTCCAAGCTCCAAAGGCTGTCAGTTCGATTAATATTCAAGATTGTTCGGACGTAGTCTTTGAGTATGATGTTGACATAGAGGCCGCAGGTTACTAGCCGACCGGTTTGGAACAGGTCGTTATCATATCTTGCATATTCTTTGGTGTTCGATTCATCCGGCTTTGTGAACCGGCCGCCTTCGTTTATTGAGGCCAGCTGTTCGACGACGTAGTTGTGAAATCGGTTAAACATGATCAAGATTACGCCAATACCCGGAGGAAACCCTAGTACACGCTTGGTAGAGAAACAGTCCGGCTTGAGTCTTCCATCCTTGAAGGTTCTGACAAGGTTTTGCTCATCTTGGTTATTTCCATACAGTGGCGAAAGATCGAGATATGAAGATGTCGAGGAAATTGTGGCGTCGTTGCGGTCCGTTTGAAATAGGTCTCGATGGATGTTAGATATGAATGGGCGACGAGCGTTATTGGCCGCTACTCACCATGGATAATAATGGATGCAATGTAGAACAGAATACTAGAAATCTTGTTTGGATGTTCCTTAAAATCTTTGCGTGCCAAAAGCGAATCGAACAGTGTTTCTGGATCCGGGAGTGCAGGAGATTGCAATGTCTTTGGCCGAACGGATCTCGCGTAATGAGAGCCGGCAGCGCCGATATGAGGCCACAAAACGTTCTTTTCTGGTATTAGCAAGCGCTCCACTCCAGGAGGGTAAGACAGGTTTACATTGCCTGAACCATCTGCTTCTCGATACGAGTATTCGCGGCCAAGGTAACTACCTTCATTGTTAGACGTGCTCGCACAGCTCATGTCTTATTGACCAACATACGAAACCGGGGGGTGCTCCAGATCTTTCCACAGCTGGTTGAGGAAGGCATTTGTCAACTCTTTTCCGACTCGAGAGGCGGAAGGAAGTGCAGAGGTAAGCTAGAATGAAGGCTTCTCATTAATACAAGCCGCGACTAGTCGTCCCAACGATTGCAGCAACGAACCTGGATCAATCGCTCCATTATGTATTGCTTATCATTGAGAGGCTCTCCCGTGGCAGCATTTTTGGTGAGTTCCACGATCGTCTTGACATCGCTGAGATCCATACGGCCCAGATCCCTTACAATTCCCGTGTTACTTGAGTCTTTCACATATGATCCATCCCCTGTTTCGGTGGGCAACGGCCGTAGTGATGCTGACACGACCTTTTCAAGTTGAGAAATAGTCTTTCCTAACCCATTGACCACACCACCACTCTCGCTCTCTGCCATCGTGAAGTAGAGTATAAAGGACGATTCACAGACGTCGCAGCAATATAAACCAGAAAAAATGGTAAATATATATTAACTATTATTGAATATCAGTACTAATAATCTAGAAACAACGGCTGTTCCTTTCCCGCCATTATCTTTCATCCTAAGCAAAGGAAGTGATAACATAGGGTCGTTGTAGAGATTGAGCAAAGCCAGAAGGCCAATAGGGACGTATTTGATTGGCATGAGGGGGCTCATAGTTACCTACCTATATCGAAAATGCAAGCAGATGATCGCCCGGACTTCGAAGCACCCAAGAAATAAAATTGGGCGCGACGCTGGTGATGACCAATTTTGTAAAGATACAACGAAGCAGCTACCGAACTCTCAGAGGGAAAAAAAAAAAAGAAAAAAGATACACTCATGAACAATGGTATTTGAATGTAAGACAAGAGAGATGAATAAAAGTAGCAGGAAAAATTTCCTGTAACCGGTTTTTATATGTCCACGACCATATCGGCCTAGCTTTGAAGGATTACGGTGCGGCTGAATAAATAGAATCAGCTCAAGATGCTCAGCTCCAATGTCATTTGGATTAGAAAGCATACAACTAGTAACTAGTAACTAGTTAACCGTTCGCCGTTCGCCGTTTCTCCTCCCTTGACAAGGAGAGCCCCACTGGCACACCTGCCAGTGAGACTGCGTCGATTTAATTCGCGCACGGAGTATACGAGTTGACGGCTGAGGAGGACTAATAATACGACGTTGCCGTCCATGGAGGAGGAAAACCCACGCAGCCCGTGGGGAATTCTAGGCCGAAACTAAAGAGAAAAGTTACCTTGGAGCCCGAATGGCCCCCCGTATCCAAGGATCACCATGAATAGCTCGGTCTGCTAGCTATTGGATCAAATTGGTTTATGGGAGTGGAAGGCCCGATCTGCAACTGGAGCATGGTGGCGCAGAAACGCAACCGGAAATTTGTCTGTGGTTCCATTCATATTTAGTGCTTCAGGTGATTGATGGTTCGTCGGGATTGCCGATTCTCATGGGTTGGGCCAATTGAGACCTGAGAAGACATGATCATGATATCTACACTCCTTCTTTGCATGTCGCAGACACCGTCATGGTCTGTCACAAACATTATTTTTTCTTAGCTTAGCAGCAAACGAGGCTAATCATGTGACACCAAACATGGCTGGCTGAACTGACCGGGCTAAAGGACACTACTAGTTATCGTCGTGGCCCGTCTTCTTACAGATTATGCAAGAGGAGCTGAACATTAAGTGATATTCATAATCAGAAGGAAGATAGTACGCCACAAAGACGCAGGATACCTCAGAAGGAAGCCTTCAATGGATAAGCCTGCGTATTTTTGCTTTTGCCTGGGGTGGTCAATGCATTGTACAGTACAGAGTCTTACTCGGAGTAGGATATTCATACCCTGCATGTCCCTGATCTACAAGATGCTTCCTTCTTCCTCATATGACTCAAGTCTTCGAAGCATTTTCTCGATCGCCTGACGTGCTATCTCTGTCTTGACTCTTCAGAGCTCCTGGAAAGTTTAAGTGGTTGATTCTTGGCGTCGCCCCACCTTCAAGCTCTCAACTTTAAATTTTATTTTCTGTCCTCAACATTTACAAAACCCGAACGGTTGATATCACGTGATTTGCATCGAGCCGAGGTCAAGATGGGCCTATCACCAATCGTGTCTTGGTGTCCTTCCCCCTCGAAATATTTGATACTGGTCGTCGCCTAAACAGCATTTGGTTCTCTAATTGCGAGTTTGGCCATTGAATCCGGTTATCTTGACGGCACATCTTAGATCTCCATCATGGCGCCAGCAAGTATTACTTTAATTGTTGAGCCCCGGGGTATGTATGCCTCCTGCACAGGCTGCCAGCCGTTGGCACAAATTCTCTATGCCTCTTATTTCCCTACACATACTTACTCTCTACTAGGTAAACCGATCAAGAAACTCCCTAAGGAAATTCAGATCAGTCCCAATGCTCCCGCCCAGGATATCTATACGGCGCTCGCGGCGGCCTCCGGCTTTTCCATCCATCGCCTGAGAATCACTAAAGGAAGCGACCGCAGTGTAGTACCCAATTCGAAAGAGACTCAAGTCGATGATACCGGTCTAAAAGAGAGAAGTGTTGTTCATGTCAAGGATCTTGGTGTGTGAAGGTGTAGCTTCTAATCGTTACGTGCAACAAGCTAACACAATCCCCAGGTCCCCAAATTGGTTGGCGCACCGTATTTATTATTGAGTATTTTGGCCCTCTGGTCATACCTGCTCTGTTCCTCTATCCTCTTCGTCCGTATCTCTATTACAACTTCGACAAGCCACTTCCCGAACCGTCTTACCTTCAGCAATTGGTCTGTGCACTACTGTCTATTCATTTCCTGAAGCGTGAATTTGAGACTATCTTCATCCACCGCTTCAGCAATGCCACGATGCCAGCACGCAATATCTTCAAGAATAGCGCACACTACTGGGTCCTGGCTGGCTTGAACATCGCCTACTGGGTTTTCCGCCCCGACGCATCTGCAGTCAACGAATTAAACCCTGCTCTCCTTTACGCTGGTCTCGGCCTCTTCGTTTTTGGTGAACTGGCCAACCTGAACTCGCATCTGGTGCTACGTGGCCTGCGCCGTCCGGGTACTACAGACAGGGGTATCCCCTCAGGATTTGGATTTAACCTTGTCACCTGCCCGAACTACCTGTTCGAGATCATGGCCTGGATCGGTGTCTATCTCGTTAGCGGTCTTAGCTGGAGCGTGCTGTTCTTCATCGCTGTCGGCGGTGCGCAGATGGCCGCGTGGGCTAAGAAGAAGGAACGCCGTTACCGCAAGGAGTTCGGTGACAAGTACAAGCGCAAGAGCTTTGTTGTGCTTCCTGGTCTTATTTAGTTTTGGCCAGAAGAAATCAAATCACTTTTTCAAGGGCTGTGGTGACGTACGGCTAGCCCTGGCCTTGTTACCCCTAATCACTTCGAACCTGATCACTCTCAGGCACATCGTTTTATATAGAGCTGTTTGAACAGTAGTCCGCGGCAGGGGGCAAGTGTTTCTGCTAACATGACTACTCAAAAACTAATCATGACCGGTATCACGGGCTACGGTGTCATCCCATGATTTCCGATTGTACGTTTCAAGATACTTCTGTCAAAAATTCCAGAAATAATAATTGAGTATTTGTTACATTAAACATCAAAAGCTAGCAAATGAGAAACGCTCTACATGGAAAAGGTGCCTCCAGCTCCAAAACACCAACCTAAGATTATTCGCAGGGATCCACCCAGGACACAAACTTTTGGAGCAGTCCGGTCCAGCGTGATACATTCCTCATTCGATGAAGCTGAACGCTCAGACGTACAAGGCAATCAATCTTTTTTGAGTTTTTTGCTCCATAGACGGTAATATGGTTCCATCTCTTTCTCGCAATTCCGCTTCGTATCTGTGTCACATCCAAAGAAGCGAATGACCAAGTCACCGTCCTTATAGCTTCCATCCGCACCAGCGCCCGACGAGTCTTTGCTGTATGCGTTGACTATCCGCTGAGGAACCAAGGCTAGTCTGGCCAGAATCGTCGGGTGCCACTGGAGGATATGATCCTGGAAAAGTAACTGCCGTTAGTGTTTGTGTTACAAGCGGTCGTAGAACAAAGCACCCGAGACGGAGCTAGGATAACACTTACCAAAGCATGTGCCTCGGCCTTAGCGAAGTTGTAGCTGCGATACAAAGGATCGAACCATATGTCTAGGAATGTCTGTGCAAACTCTCCCTGTTTGATAACGAAGCTTCCGGAGCTAAGACTCTCGCTGTCTGTGCTGAGAATGAGGTCCACATCCTGGGGCTGTAGATGCGAAAAGGTCCTGATTATGCTATCTGGCGGGACGACGGGGACGTCCTTGAGCATCAATGAGTCTAGACGACTCTTTTCGAGGAGATGCGATTCCAGCGACTTGCTCGGGTCCATGATCAGCGCATGCGCATCGAGGTAGAAGAAGTTCTTCGAGTACGGATGGGTACCCATCGCATGTCGAACGGCTGGGACGACGCCCCAGCTTCGCGGGGCGCTCTCCAGTATAGTTTCGTAATCGGATAGGTTGGCAAAGAAATTCGTATAACCTTGAGCAACGCACGTACGGTAAGTAAATATGACCGGTCGGAAAGTCGTGTGTTCACGTACCATGTTGCTTGGCGTATCCTTCTCTATTCTTGGTGATCTTTTGAATGTAATCGGCGCTCCAGCGGGCACGGTCTAGAACTGTCACAATGACAAGACTTGACGTCCCGGCTGGTGCTGCAGGAGTTCCTGTACTCGAATAAAATAGTTGCGATAATAGGAAGTAAATCACCACCAGTGCGAATCCTAATATCGCAACAGCTTTAAGTTGTTTTCTGCGTTGTAACGACAGCCGGGAAGAGCGGCCGTATAGAGGAGCATTGAGGTTCCTCCGAGGTGGTAGAGCGAACTGCATGATTGAACGATTTTGCCCCCAGCGGTAATTTGCTGGGTGACTGAGAGTACAGTTGGACGAAACTACCGATCAGTGCATTCTAATAGAAAGTAGACACTGGGCTGAGTGGATATGTAGTTTGCAGCGTCGCAGTCGTACTTCTGGAACGGTCTTATCTAGTATCTGCCGCATCCGGAAATTAAATGCGGATCATCAACGGCCCGACATATTGTCCAAGACATTCCTGAGGTACTTTCTTGGTTGGTTTGTTGGTTGTATTTGCGGTTAAAGAGTATCGTGATTTAGGTGGTAAAGAAATGTCGAGACTCTGTATACCTAGGTCATAGCAGTGGTAGTGTAACTTTCCCTCCTACACCCCATCCATGATATTTCCATAACGAACTATTTATATTTAACTCAAAGTAGCATTGACAACGTATAAGTACACTGAAGAGCTAATCATGCAAATTTAAGGAAATAAATGCAACAACTGAGTGGTAGTTGTATGCTGGCCTCCGCCATCCCTCCCAACTATCAATACCGGGAAGTGGTATATGAGGCATTGCCGACCATGACCAAAATAATAATACAGACGCCCATCCATTGATCACCGCAAACCAGAACAAAATCAACTGTCAAAAGTCCTTCTCCAGAAGCTTTTATTTCCCCCTACTTAATACTGCTTCTCGTTGTAAGATGGCTTCGTGATGTCCTTGATGTTGGTCAGATCCTCCGCCTGCGCCTTGATTTCGGCTTCCTTTTGCGCCACCCACTCCTCGAATGATGGCGGTTCGGGGAGTCCTAAGCGCTTCCGTTCTTGTCGGAATTGCTCTTGAATCTTCGGGGTTTGCATAACCTTCCATCTCAACTGCCATCCGAACACTCCAAGTTCCTTGACCCGCCCGGGCCGGTCGTCAAGAAGGTAGTTGTCGAGGCCACCAGACTTCCGGATTGTCCTCAAAGCCTTACGTGTAACCTTGATAAACAGCCACTCATCAAGCGCTTCGCTGTAGATCTTCTTTCGGCGGACATTTGGCTTCCAGAAGCGTCGGGTTTTCCCCTCATTACGACCTTTGGAGATCTTATTTCCGAATTGGATCATAACGCCTCCATAGAGGCCGCTGTTCGACTGCTTGTACACATAGTTTGGTCCGTAAGGGTAAGGGGGAATGTAATCAGGCAGCTGTTTCGTCTTCTGCGTGGCCAATGTCGTGGAGAAGGACCGTTTGGAGGCGGTTAACGAAAGGTTGCGAAAAGCCGTAGAGAGGGAGAACGGGGCGGACAAAGCCGAACGAGGTTGTAAACCCGCCATTGTCTTGATCAGAAGGTCGATATGGTATCGACCATGACAGGGAAAGACAGTCGGAAGGAAGTAAACGGCGTCGACGGACACGACTGGTAATCCGATAAATATTGAGGCCGGAGTAGTTCGTTGACTACCTTAGTGAGGTGAAAGAATTTGGGAGTTGGCTTCACCGCCTTAGCAACTGACGGCTATCATTGAGCGGTCCCTTAAGCTGTTTGAATTTCGGCCAGAAGCATCCATCTCTATCGTCCTGTCTCCAGTTTTCCCTGTTGGCTCATCAATTACGTTTCTTCCCAATAATACTTATTGACATTTTAACCCCTGACTGTTCCGATCATAATTAAACTAACCTATCGTGACTTCTGAGTGAGGTTGCAACCCTTTCACCATGGTCCAGATCAGCGAAGTGAAAGGCAATTCGCGCGAAAACAGGACCGCCGCCCACACGCATATCAAGGGTCTTGGATTACGTCCTGATGGCACTGCAGAAGCTTCCAGTGATGGATTTGTTGGTCAAACGACCGCCCGTGAGGTGCGCGATGCTCTTTCCTCCGACCGCATTATGCAACGATCATGATGCTAACTAGCTCTCACTAGGCATGCGGTGTTGTTGTCGATTTGATTAAAGCGAAGAAAATGGCTGGGCGTGCTGTTCTACTTGCCGGTGGACCAGGGACTGGAAAGACGGCGCTCGCCCTTGCCGTATCACAGGAGCTGGGAACCAAGGTCCCATTTTGCCCGATCGTTGGCAGTGAAATATACTCTGCTGAAGTTAAGAAAACAGAGGCACTTATGGAGAACTTCCGGAGAGCGATTGGTGCGCAGATCTTTTTTTTTAGAGAAGTTGAAGTGTTCACACGGTTAACATGCTTTTAGGTCTCCGTGTGCGCGAAACGAAAGAAGTGTACGAAGGTGAAGTCACCGAGCTTACGCCTGAGGAAACTGAAAACCCATTGGGAGGCTATGGACGCACAATCAGTCATTTAATTATCGGATTGAAGTCTGCAAAGGGAACCAAGAAGCTGCGCCTTGATCCCAGCATTTATGAGGCTATCCAGAAGGAACGGGTTACCGTTGGAGATGTGATCTACATCGAAGCGAATACCGGTGCTTGCAAGAGAGTAGGACGATCCGATGCATATGCGACCGAGTTCGATCTTGAAGCGGAAGAATATGTTCCTGTACCCAAAGGGGAGGTTCACAAGAAGAAGGAAATCGTACAGGATGTGACGCTACATGACCTGGATATGGCCAACGCTCGACCACAAGGTGGACAGGACGTTATGAGCATGATGGGACAACTGATGAAGCCCAAGAAGACAGAGATCACGGATAAGCTGCGCCAGGAGATCGACAAGGTTGTTAGCCGGTATATTGACCAAGGAGTTGCCGAGCTGGTTCCTGGTGTCCTCTTCATTGATGAGGTATGTGACTTATCATGACTGCGTTTCCGCCCCACGCTTCTAACATTCCCAATCTAGGTCCACATGTTGGATATCGAATGTTTCACCTATCTCAACCGTGCACTTGAATCCACAATCTCCCCCATTGTCATCCTTGCCTCCAACCGCGGCCACACTGTCATCCGCGGCACCGACGACATCACCGCCGCACACGGCATACCTTCTGACCTCCTCGCTCGCCTTCTCATCGTCCCCACCCACCCTTACTCTTCCGACGAGATCAAGACTATCATCCGCCTTCGCGCCAAGACAGAAGGGATCAACATCACCGATCCCGCCCTCGACAAGATCGCCGAGCACGGCAGTAACGTCAGCCTGCGGTACGCACTGCAATTACTAACCCCAGCTAGCATCCTTGCACGGGTCAACGGACGGCCAGGAGGCATTGAGGAGGCCGATGTAGCCGAGTGCGAAGACCTCTTCCTTGATGCAAAGAGAAGCGCGACGATTGTAAGCCAGGATAGCGAGAAGTTCCTTTAGGGGGCGTTTTGTGGAAACGAAGATCTTTCTTGAATTGATGCTTTGGACTGAGAAAAGAGCACAAGAATAAAGGAAACTAAAAAAAAAGAGCAATATGTATACCATGTCTGATGTATCGTGTATTGGCCAGGCGAATGATCCATCATAGTCATTTAACGTTAATGTCAACTAGTCTCATGTTTTCATTGGTCTCATTTTTCCGCTATAGAATCCTGTTCTATTAAGGCTCTCTAGCATCAAAACCAGCCAACTAAGATTTAAGCATTCTATCCCCACCCAACATCCACTCAAACATAGTCTCAACCCTCGATACAGGGAACCCAAGCGCCCCCAGTAAGATCCACGACATCTGGAAAACTAGAACATAGAACCGAGCCAGACAAAGTGCCGTCCGAACAAGATGGTCTTTCAAACCTAGCTCTGTAAACGGTGATTTCGAGGAACACATGGGATCAGGGTGGTAGTGAACCCCCAAAGGCACCTGAGCATCTAAATGCTCAATAGCAATCTCGAGACCAGAAGTAACCGCATCTTCGAGAAACCCACGCCCGGTCCAACGGAAGCCGTAGCTTAACCCCCTCTTGTTCTGGATTAACGGAAGACGGCTTTGAGCTTGGAGAGTTGCGGTGCTAAGCTCTGGGTCGGTGTACTCCCATATGCTGTGGGCGAATCGGGGATGTGGCGGCGTAAATGGATTCAGAGTGGTGTATAGCCGGTCGAAGAGACGAGTTGGGATACTTTGGAGGGAATTTACGTTGTACGTGAGGCAGGACTTGCGGGGAGCCCAGGCTGGGGGTTCATGCTGGGTGTGGTCGGAGGGGTCTAGGGTGTAGTTGCTGGTGGGCCAAGATCCGTGAATGTTGGGTGCCAGCTATTTCGAATGTGTAAGTGGTTGTTCGATCGTGTCGCGTATGGTGGAGGGTCGTGGATTACTTACAAAAGGGTCTGAGTGTAAGACGGCGATATTGTTGGTTGTTTTGAGCCCCTGGATGATCTCCGTTTCATCGGTATCTATATTGGAACCCAGTATCTTGAGAATCTCGTTGTTATCCACGGCGAAGATTATATGATCGAAATTTGATTCTCTACCATCCGCTGTGAGAAGGCTATACTGCCTTTTACCCTCGCGGGTTATCTCCCGGACCCTGGTATTGAGGTGCACATTCTCAGGGGAGAACCCTTTGACCATGGTCTGAACAACATGGTTTGCTCCGCCATCGATACGGCGAAAATCCGGCGTTGTTCGCCGTATACCAAAGAGCTGATGGTCGCATAAGCTGTGAATGAGGGTTTTCACAGGAAATTGCGGAAGTAGCCTTCCAATATTTATCCCCCATAGGGTTGAAAGCAACGGCGCTAGATACTGGTCGCAAAGACTTTTTGAATACCCTTCGTTCGAAAGGAATTCAAGTGTGCTGAGCGACTGCTGAACGTTGGTTTTGTCACGGGATGGACGCTTGTCTATCAATATATCCATGGCCATGTAATTAAACCATATGATGTCGAGCAACAAACGAACAGTTCCTAAACTGCACAACATCCACGGGTGCAGGAGAAGAGTATTCAAAACGCCACCACACCAGTCATAAGTGTCTACACCATCTGACACACCAAAAGCAAATGGTACAGTGGATGTGCTTATTCCTAGGAAGCGGAGCAAAGACACGAGATTGGCTGGACACGGATGTTAGCCCTGGGCTACCTTTCTGGTATAACAAAACTAACGAGAAGCCTCAGCATTGAAGGATGGCGATTCTGTGTTCACATCGACTACTTTCTCATAATGCTCTAATGGTAGGGATTTGATACGCCCACCCAAGCTTGCTGAAGCCTCAAATAGGTGGACATCATGCGCCGATTGTTGCAATGCCCAGAAACAAGTGGTTCCAGTGCAGCCGCCGCCAACGATAGCGACTCGTTTGGAGTGAGGAAGCGGCATGGGACAGAAATTCTTCTAATAACCAGCTTTTCTATCTGATTGAAAAGTCAATATCAGCAAGTAAAAGGTGAGGTCAAGCCTTCTATACGAAGCGCAGCGGTTGGTGCACGGGCAGGAGAGGGAGTGGATGAAACAGCAGATAGATCTATACTACTCGCCCCCATTCAGACCTCGGCTCATACGTTCCGGGGGTGGCGAGAATCAGGGCGGTATTAACTATGGTGAAAGGATTAGTTCAGGATGAAACGAACGAATGCCTACATAATGCGGTTACGGGGTCATCAAGACACGCTTTCCGATCTACTTGGGTGTGATTGTATCAGATGACAGGGCGGTTAATCATGGGTGAACCAGCGGCAAATTGGCTTTTAGGGAGATAAATATCGCATTACTGCGGTACGATGTATGACACTTCAACCCCCCAGAGTCGTCATTGGCCAGGTTCCAATCTTGAGGGGGTTATTTTACGGGGTTAATTTGCATACTCCACAAGCTCCAGTTGTATCAGGGGCATACCATAGTTGGGTGGCTGGCTCACATATCAGATTCCCGTTGATCGTGAGCACATCAGTTGCAACCACTGAAAAGCTGACAAATGACGTATTTCGAGCATGGAAGATAGTTGGTTTTTCAAGAGTATTAGAGGAATATCCGCCAATCGAACTATAATTACTAGTATAGTCTACTACAAGTACATACATCATAGTAAGAGTGAACTGCTACTAGTAATGATTGATTCTCAAGACGGGAAACCGCAACCTCGGCCGCGCATCACGTGTGGGTCGGGGGTTCCTGTTCCGGAATGACAATCATTAGCATCCTATCGTCATTCTGCCTACTTTCCCCCTCAATCAATAGCAGAACTTCACAGCTTTCGGTCTTTTTTCGTGTGTCCTTTATTTCGCGCATCAGTGACCACTCCCTCCATCGTGTAGTGTGTCCGTGTGTGTGTGCTCAGTTCGTTCTGACCGATCGAAAGTGCCACCAGCCACCAGCCACCGCAAGATAAGGTGGTCCCAGGAATCCGCCTGCCTATTAGCGACTATTGAGCGCTTTAAAAAAACCCAATTTAGACCAACGTCGCAACATATACAAATCTTCCTCTCTTTTCCCTAGATAATATCTCGCCATCATGTCGAACCCTTTGGATACCGATGCCGGCTCGGAGCTGTTCAGTAGTTACGAAACCGAGCTGAAGCTGATACAGGCCGATCTGAACCAGACATTGGACCAGATCGCCGAGTCGAGTGGAGAGCAACGGAAATCGACAATAAGGAAAGCGGAACAGCTGCTAGATGAAGCTACTGAACTGGTCGGTCGCCTGCCTTACAACTCTCCGTGAATTCTTATTGACAGGCCCGGTCATTTGCAGTTGGACCAAATGCGCATGGAGAAGCAGAACATCCCCTCGGCGGCACGGTCAAAAGTCAACGCACGATTCCGCAATTATGCCACGGACCTTGATGAGTCGAAACGCAAACTCAAATCTCTTTCCGACGACCGGAAAGCGCTCTTTGGCGATCGCTACACTGACGACCCGCAGGATGTACACTTGGAACAGAGGCAGCAGCTTCTGTCCGGCACGGACCGCCTGGAGCGCAGCTCTGCGAGACTCCAAGAAAGTCAGCGGATTGCTTTAGAGACGGAGGATATCGGCCGCAACACGCTAGCAGATTTGAATCAGCAGCGGGAAACCATTATGAACACCCGGAGCAATCTGCAACAAAGCGAAGGATATGTTGATACCAGTATCAAAACATTGAGGGGCATGGCCCGTAGGTACTGACTCCTTGGTATCCTACTCTTCTACCCTATGGCTCATATTGCTAACATTTTGCGCAGGATGGCTACGAATCGGATAATTACTATTGCAATTATAACCGTTTTGGTTCTCCTAATTATTGCCGTGATCTACAGCAAGTTTCATTAAGCGTTAGGGCTAGCAGGCGTTGTGCAGGAGTTCTTCGATTTTTACTTTCCATCTTACGATACAGTGTCTGCTGTAGCAGGCACTGCTAAGCAACGTTGTATGATAGCATCTCCATTGCCTAATCAAGCCGGCTTTTGTAGTTTTGGTATAACTCAACGACTCAATGGCCTGTTCTATTAAAAGCAGGAACAAAACTTCGGGGTATCATCAGCACATAACGAGAAGCAGAAGGGTAAAATTCAAAACACAAGAAACACCACCTAGTATCAATTCATGATACGCATTGTCCCAAATGCGAGATTGACAACCACTCCAACAAACACTGCCAAACCCTTTCGCCAGCTCCAAACCCCCTCCTCCCGCCTCAACCACATCGCACACCCCACCGGCCAAAAGAAACCCATGACGGCGCCCCAAAGCATATCATCCATAGCCCCTTGCGACCCCGACCCAAAGCCCCCATCATCATCCGTGAAGCCCGCTCCCTCTCCAGCCCCTCCAGCCCCAGCTGCCATTGCCGATGAACCCTCGTCCATCCACCGATCCTCAAGCTCCCGCAACTCCGCCCCACTCGGCATGGTATCTGGCGTTCGCGACACAGATTGGATAGCCATAAACTGCGACCGCAGCGCCGACACTTCAGCGGGGGTAAACCCCGCTGACAACAACCGATCAAAACCACGGGGCGCAGGCGTTGTCGAGGACATCTGCTGCTGCTGCTGACTCTGCAGACTTGACTGATCACCATCTTTCTGTGTTTGATCCTCTTGCTGGAGCGTAGATGCCAACGATGCTTCTGTCGCTAAATCTGGAGCGGAAAGAACGATATCGCCTATCGAACAATGAATGTATAGACGGGGTTGTTCTCGGATGGGTGCTTTGCCCTTTCCCTTTCCCTTTGAGAGATCGGTGTCTTCATCATCGGAGGGTAATCTAGGTGAGCGGGAGGGTGAGGGGGGTAGTTTTAGGGAGACGGAAAGTGGGACGGTGTCTTCGAGACCGCGGCCGGCGTAGATTAGTCGGAGACGGTTAGAGGAGAGGTTTGGTGGGAGTCGGGTGCGGATTAGTTGTTTTAGGCCTGCCGATGTGGTTGTTTCGGGATATAGAACATCGAGTGGGAGATCGGGGATTGAGGCTGAGAAGCGGATGGTGAGGAGGAGAGGTTCCGGTGTTGGATCCTCCCCGGAATTGTGATTCGGGGATAAGAATGTTGGTGTTGTCATTTTCTTCATTGAATTATTGATCGACGGGGGGCATGAAATGGTCAATGGTTGCGCGAGCGTTGGGTATTTGCAGGGCCCGAGTGTGTCGTATAGTAGCAAGTCGAGATGTAGATGGTTGCTACCTGCGGAGGGTCCAGTCAGTGGACTGATTCCCCCCCATACACAGTGATAAATTCGCGCTAGTATTCTTTCCCGATAACGGCCCACGTGATTCCGGGTTTGTTGTAAAAGGGAATCCTCTGTACCTATCACTCTTCTCGAGGATCAGAAACTAGAATTCCGGTCTGTCCTGTATGGTTTCTAGTAAGTCTTTTGTGGAGTTCTAAGTTTCATCCTATTTAATGTTCTGCATCTATGGCGTACAGCGGTATTCTATAGGCTCCATCACCCAATGTCATGGCGGGAAACTCTCGCGCAGAAGCGGAAAACGTCCGTTTAACATACCCTTCTGACATCAAAAGCTTCCAGAGAACAAACGAATTTGTATACACATGGAAGGAATATTTCAAGAGTTTTTTTCATTGGATTTGATAACCTTATAGATATTAACCAAAGAGAAAAGCGAGCACAGGTCAGGACGCATACTGTGCATAGGTCTAACAGCCAAGGTCAAGTGCTTGACATACAGGATGAAAATAAAACAGTATTTATTACACGATATGGGCTTTATAGCCCGGGAATCATTGATGTATTCAAGGAAGAAGGGGGAGACTCGATAATCCCAAGAGAGAACAATCCGTAAGAACGCCGTCCGATGCACCGTTGATAATTCCAAAAGGCCGTAAAAGAAAATCGGAATCGTAATCTAAACCATGAAGGATTCACCGCATCCACATGATTCCTCTGTTGAAAATCATGTTAGCAATCATGGTTTCACAAACATTAAGGGAAAAGAGAAGTAGCTGGGAAACATACTGATATTTGGGTTCTTGAAGATAAATCTCCTGCTCAATTTATCTTCTTGCCAATCCATCTCGCTACCGATGATGCTGAACAACGCCTTGCTGTCAATCAAAACCTTGACGCCGTCCTGTTCCACAACCTCGTCGAAGGTACCTGGCTTCTCCACGTATTCGAGATGGTAGGCGAGGCCCGAGCAGCCACGGTTCTTTACGCCAACTCGGATCAATTTAGGGTCCGGCTGAGACAGTAGCTTGCGAAGCTGTACGATAGCCTCGGGTGTTAATTTCATGGCCGCTTTCCGTGCACGTAGCTTCCTCCTAGGCTTTCCCGCGGGTTTCGGAGAAGTCGATTCGACGGGCTTGGACTTCTGTGCCTCATTCTCTCGGAGGCTAACATGTGAAAAGATTCCTTGCTGCTGTGCCGATGTCTCTCGGAGCGGAGGGAAATCTGCTGAGATAGAGGTGTCGTAACTTCCGCCGCTCCGGGGAGGTGGAAAAGCGGTCGGCAAGGAATGCGGGCGATACGCAGTAGCGGTCTGCATGTCACGCTTGGAAGACCGGTGGGCATTTCCATACGAGGAGAACAGGCGATGTGCCGGGGTTTTGTAGGGATTTCTCACACAGCGCAACATCGTTGTGGATGATGTCACTGGCGAGCGAACCGTAACTCTGCAGAAGGACATGATGATTGTAGATAGAAATATGCGGCGTTCAAAGACTCTATGCAATGATAGAAGTAACAAGGCACTAAGTTCTCATGGGATCTGGAGTGATCTAGTGGAGAGGGAAAGCAAGTTGTCAAGTAGACGGAGGAGTTGATGTGACTCGGAGGTTGAGTTCTGTTTTGAGGTGGAAGAAAGTCAGCAGTCGGTTAAGAGGTCACAGCGAGTACCCGGCGGGCCAATCACCGTCGAGGTGTTTCTACACAAGTTCAGTGGCGCCACTCCTCGTCATCTGATCGGGATTCTAATATAGTGCCATTTATGGGGTAGATGACATTACTAGTAGTCGACGAGTGGTTCACTTAGTTTGCATGAATGCGGCTCTGTCCTTCGCCAATCCTTTCTTTGGTCGTAGTGCAATTGTTCTAGTACTGACGTGGATTTTATGGGGGAGGAAACCATCCTTACCTTACCGTTAACAAGGTGATTGTCAGCTTGTTCCCGCAACGGGGTACCTCAGGCACGAGCGATGACTAATGGGTACCTCAACAAAGTGGAATTGAATTGTCACCAAGGTTGATGAGTACCTTCTGGTGCGCTGCCATAATAAACTCCTGGAATGATGCTGCTGCAGTATCTACGGAGACTACATTAGTATTGAAACTGGTAAGCATAAGGCGTAAACAGGGTGTTTCTGTCTCTACTACAGAGTACTAGTAAGTTTATAACTAACCAGCCCCTGACTAGAACGGTTATGTCATCATCAATTGTAACTAACTACTAGTAGTTAACTACCTATTGTATGTTAATGGTTATTATTTGGGAGAATTGATGGCTTAAAAAATATAGAGGGGTCAGTGAAATAGGATATTAATCAAAACGACCCTGAGACAACAGAAAGAGGTTTTAATTTTATATTAAAAGATCTCAAACAAAGTGGAGCGTTTGGGATGAAATGAAATGTGGCTTGACTGACCAAACAGCGGCGTGGCTCATGTGGGTTTGAAACCCAATAGGCAGAAAAAGGATGTGGCCGTTCTTGGGTGCGATACGACGACGACGTGGATGGTTGTAGTGATAGAAACAATAGAACCCATACTCTGCTTCATTCTTGCCCGTCTGTCTCTTGCCCGATTGTTCCCCTCTTTGCGATGCTAGCCGGGGTCCTATGTTCTATGCAGATCATTGAATCCGTCTGACCATCATGGAGTCCCCCTTAACTCAGCAAACTAGACCCGAAACCTTCAAGCCTAAAGTCGTGCAACTATACGAGAACCTATTTCAAGTCCGTCTAGCCACCTCACCTTTTGGCTTATTGAATACTAACTTACCCCCTGTAGACCTCGGACTATAATGAACCCTCCGAGGGATTTTGGAGGGAATTCTTTTTGCTGCCGCCTGATCGGAGCCAGCTCAGCTCTATCCTAGACCAGCTCAGCCCTGATGAAACGCTCAACTTGCAGGTAACATCCCCACCATAGACTTACCCAATCCATAACTTACGGGGATGCTCTTTTCGTGTGCTAATTTTGCATCAGGTCCAAACCCAACAGCTTTTCACTCGTGCCATCCGTGAAGCTGCTTCGAGAGCCAGTCCCGCGGACTCGTATGCACTAGAGGTGCGTATATTCCTAGAATCCTTTGATTTGTACTTCAACCTCTAAGAGGTAAATGTAGACCTTGATGGTATTTCTAGCTTGCGTCTTGAAGAAGAAGTACACCAACCCTAGTTCGGATGTCATTACGGTTCTTGCAGGTCTCGATCATGTAGACCAAGTTATTTCGAACTTTGTCGCCGTATTGGACGGCATTATTCGCAATGGAAGCAGCTGTAAGTTTCATCAGTGTCTCCCTGTCGTGTTAATGAAGCGGGTCCATGCTAACCGTCTCCTCAGTTGATTTGCGCATCAAGGCTATTAAGACAGCTACCGCCATGACTAGTGGCGCATATAAAACCAGTCTGGTTTCGTATTTAACACATCGCGATTTATTCCCATCCCTCATGAAGGTTTGTCCTCAATGCTCATCGACTCCTTTTAGCATACTCGGGAATATCTAATCTGTCGTACAGTTCGTCCAAGAATCTGAAACTCCGATCCAAGTATTTGACCCATTTCTTCTTCTGGGATTGCTAGCAAACTACAACAAATTCGAGTTCCAAAACCCTTACCAGCTGCGACTTGACGACTTCGTCAATGAGATAAGCATTCAGAAGATTGTCAAGGGAGTCGGGCTCTCATGCGCTGCTGTGAGGAATGGCTATGTGGCTGTGCAGGACGATGCCCCCGAGGGGTGGACGCTGCTCAGCACATTGGTTTACTTTGGCCTGGGGGCCCTCTCCCCAAGTAAGAAAGACAAAGCTAGCCCACCGAGTGTAGAAGAAGCCAAAGAGATGTTCGCGACGCTGTAAGATAGAGTTGCACCCACAGACTTTGACCAACAGCTAACAGAACTAGGCCGGCCCAGCAAGCAGCTATCCTTCTGGCTACCTATGACTTCACAAATGCCAACAAACTCTTTGGCCACCATCTGATCAGCCAAGCCCCAGACAAGGACAATGAAGAATCGCCATTTGCTAGTTTCCTCTCATTGACATCGTATCTTCTACACCACGCCTACCGCTCTCCAAGGATAGCGCACTATGCCGAGCTCAACTTGTTCACGCTCCGCATCCTTGCCGAGGACTCCACCCTCTGCAAGCAACTCTGCAGCGAAGAAAACAAAAGAAAGATCCGCCTCTGTCGCCAAAGACAGCCATATCTACCAGTAGTCCCAGGGGACCGTGTCCTCGCAACAGTCATCTTCGACATCATAATTGATACAATCTCCCACAACCTGCGACGACGCCTTGATGTCAACATCTACAGGTGCTTACCTACCAAATCCACTCCCACATCAAACCTCATACTGACCACACCAACAGCCACTCAATCGCGATCCTCCTCCGCCTCCTCACCTACCTATCCATGAACAAAATCCGCCTAGCGTACCACTGGTCGGAGCTCTGGCGCAACCTTCTCTCGCTAATGCGCTTCCTAACAACCTACGTCACCGACCTCGCATCCAACCCTAACATCACCACCTTGACCACAACCCTCGTAGACCTAGTCGCATTCTGCGTCTCCGCAGGCGACACCTTCCTCCCAGACCCTTCCTCCTACGACGACCTTTTCTACAAACTAGTCGAAACAGGGCCCATCATCACCAAATACCGCGACGTGTATTCCCTGAAACCATCCAGCTCGAAGCCCACAGACCCGAACCCATCCAAAGACGTCCACGTCGCGGCCATCGACACCCTCATTTCCGTCTCAACCCACTTTTACACACTCCTGTTTAACCCGGAGCAGACTGATGTGAAGCCCGATGCTGATGGCCAAGGCGTGGCGCCTATCCCGGCGCACCGGAAGAAGAACCTCGGTCCCAGAGAGGTCCATCGCATTATCAAGCAAGGGTATGATACGTTGAGCATTCAGCCGCCGGAGGGTCTGAGCGCTTGGACTAGGTGGCGGGAGACGGATGCGAAGACGGAGTTGAAGCAGGCTGCCAGGTGCGTTGTTGAAGATGCGAGGCAGCTGGTTGTGTAGGTAGTTTGCTTGCTTTTGGTTTGTTGATTGGTGTGACTTGACTTGTGTCGAAAGTGCAATTAATTCTGTGATTTCTATGGGAAACTTGATACAGAATGCCCATGATTTATTTTGGTCTATGAAATCAAACTTGATGACCAAAGAAAAGGGGGGTTAGAAGATTAAACCGTTCCATAACATTCGCCAATTTCCTCTAATGTTACAAAGTGAACCGTTAGAAGCCATAACTCGCGTAAAAAGCATATCCGCCCATGCTCCTGAAAGGCTGAAACCACCACAGTGCTGTAGATAAAAAACGAAAAGGAGATGTTGTTCAGAAAAAGAATAACAATTTACCATCATGCAATGTCACCATGTGTTAAAAGCAGTCAATGTGTACTGAAGCCCTTAAACCCCATTTACACCAAACGTGAGGTAGCAGTGCCAGGGTTGGGGTTTGCTACACCCTTAGACTTTTCCACATATTCATTGCTGGCAGTCATATATCTCGTAGCAAAGTACTGGCTAGAGTGTTTGCTCAACCAGAGAGTGAACTTGGAAAGCTCCTCGCGGAGTCTGTTAGTGGATTGGAGATCCATGTTAGTCTGCGCAATCAGTTCAGGCATAGTAGCTAGATATAATCAGCGGCGATCTCCAACGTATCATAGAGAGCATCATACCGAAAAGACGAGTCAAGTGCTCGGCACCATAGATATCCAAGGGACCTTTGTCGGCGAAGTCTCCCGATCCCGATTCCCACTTCTTGCGGAGGTTTCGGTATTGTTCGCGTTCAAATCTGTAAAGGAGGATCTTATCAAGGGCTTTGTCAAAGTACTCCTTTATTCCCATAATGACTTCCTCAAGAACATCCAGATCAGCCGAGCTTGTGCGCTTAGGCTTCTCTGCCTCTGAATAGTCTTCCAAGATTTGATTAACCGAGCGCTTAGCCGGCAAAGCCACGACTTGCTGGTTCTTCGTCACGTTCTCCCAGTCATCGACCAGAAGCGACTTCAAATTGTCTGGCATAACAATCCTCACCGATGGTCGTACATAAAAGCTATCCTCCTGGGAGCGTTTTTGTTAGTCTGGTCACCTCGAGGAGCTACAATTCCCAACCCAAGTGTCAAGCCTCATCATCGGTACCATGACCAGGCAATAGCCATTGACGGGTTTTTTAACGTTGAATAGTAAATGTGGCAAGCTCACCTTTTCAACATCGTTGTCCCTGGCTCTCTTGGTTCCACGGCCAGGAACGGACATCTGGCGTTCTTCGCTTCCTCGGGCGGAGCTACGATCGGAACCTCCCCTTTTCTTTGCGGAGGCCTTGGTGCTCTTCTGACGGAACGCAGCCTCGGCCTCACGGCGAAGAGTAGTTGCAAGTTCTCTGTTCTCCTCGGTAAATTTACGGAGTCGATCTTGCGGGACCCAGTCATCCCAGCTAAATGTGGCAAAAAGCCAGGTCAGCCAAATCCATGTACACCCGCCAACGCAGGTGGGGGATGCTTTATCCTCAACCCCCATAGGGTGTTTAGAGTAGCCTTGTAACTCGTAGAAGAGAGAGTGGTAGAGACAATCTTGCTCATTTAAGCATGAAAGACCGACGGAACACGGAGAACGCAAAACACCGAGGATATACGTACGTGTTTTTCCAGCCCTTGTAGTGTACTAGGTACTCATACGGACTCTTGCGGTCGTCAGGATCGACGTGTCTGACGTCGAGGACCTTTGCCTCGTACAAAATCTCATGGTGGAAACAGAGCACTCGCTCATCTTTCTGATAAGTGGTTTGGCCAGCTGGAGCCATTTTGAAGAGGACAAAAGTGAGACTCAAGGAGCTTTGTGTTTTGGAAAAAAAGGCGGAGTGCAAAGAAGGATGAATAAGTTTTAACACCAGCCACAGGGTTGATTTAGAAGGTAGAGGAAGAAGCAAGCCTGATGTGGTTCAGGTTGACGTTCCCAATACTGTTGCTGTTCCTCTCAAGACCACGTGCCATGCAATCAAATCAATCAATGGCCGGGAGAGAAAATCTCTGTGCAATGGGATTTGAAGATGCAAGTGCCTGGTCTGACTGGCCCTAATTGCGCAACTAATTGATTCTCAGACAATCCTTTGTACAATTGGAACTCTGCTGACAAGAACCCTGGCTTCTCGAAGCACTGATATTTTTGAGCCACGTGCCCGAGGGATTGGGAATAAGATGAAGATAGCAGGCGTGGAAGGCTACAATATAGAGCAACACTGACCTCCGAGCAATCAGGGTATATGAGAGGAAAGGGAGAAGTGGAGGAAGCGGAGGCAAATCTGGAGTATGACTTGTGTTGCGCGTTGTTCAGGGAAAAGACCCGAAAAGGTAAGAAAGCGGAAGTGGAACTTAACGCGTGCTGAAAAAGGGCTAATTTATCGGAGAAAGGAACGCCTTCATTTCAACCCATTCCCCAACCTTCACCACCAACGCTCCTTATTCTCTGATTTTACCTTTCTTCTCTCTCGAGTCTACAGCAGTACTCTTTACTGTACTAACTTACACGGCTTGAAGATACCTCTTTTCTTCTCTTAAACTCCGTCATCAGTTGCTTCCGCAAACACTGGTCCGATTGGTCCACGACAGTCTTGACCTTGAATACCACACAAGCCAAGAACCATCGTCCATTAGAGATCCTAAGAGCTCCCGAAGGAAGAAAAAGGAGAAAAGAACCCTGGTTCTCCTTAAATCTTCACTTTAAATTGCATGTTCCAGTAGCAATTCGCGATCATGGCTCCATCAGAAGCATCCATTCTTAGCAATTTCCTGCTATCTCCAGCTTCTTTGCCCACAATTATCTCCTTGCAACAATTCACGGAACTCTTTCCAAAGCGCTTGCGCTCTCATCCACACATCAGAGCTCTTTACCGGGAGCTGCAGCAACTCCGAGAGCAAGACATGGATTTGGTCAATGGAAACATTGACCAAGAACTCCGTCAAGGGGAGAGCCAAAAAGCAGAACTTCGCAAATCCATCCTAAACACCGGTGTGGATGGTATGAGCGCCAGTGATCAATGCGAAATTGATACGGATATCCAGTTATTTGGCCAGACATCCACCGCTGCGCCCAGCGATTACCATTCAGTGTCGAGTCTCCTCTCTGCGATGGAGACAGCCTGTGCTAATGTTGAACACGAAATTTCTGGGGTTGATAAAGACGCAAGCACTCTTCTTTCAGAGCTTGACCTCACAGTAGGCGAATTGAGTGATCTGCGCTACGGTAAAACGCAAGGTCCTGTGGGGACAACAAGCGAAGACATGATGAATGAAACTATCAATGGCCTGGAACATCTTGAGAATGCTTGCTACCGTAAATCGTGATGATAGCCACCGTGGCACTTCAAATTTGCAGCTCCCCAAGCATGAGTCCTTGGTGTACTGCTTAGGGCTTTGCAGAATCTTGCCATCGCCTGGTCAGGGTGATGAAAGATGTCTATAACTTCCTTATGTCCACTATCTTGGAAGAAAGCTTCTATATAGCATCGCTAGAGGCTCTGTCTGGGCTATGACCTTTTCTGGCTTCTGATCTCCCTCAATCGGCACTTTTTCTCCACGGTATTTACTGTTCTGCTGGTCAACATGCGATAATCCCTGTAGCGACCAAACTAATATCCTACTTACGATTCCGTATGAGGGACCACGGTCTAGACCAGCCTCAGAAAGAATTTGAAGAGTGAATCTACTCTATGCGGTGCCCAATACCGATGATATATGGTCTCTGACGGGCAACGATGGATGTTGCTTTCAACCTGCTGGCTCCTTAAGTCCTGCCCCCTGTCTCTTGACTTTTTGGCTGCCAGTATATATTGGTGTGGCCAATAGTTTCACAAGATGCCCAGCCTCTCCAAGCGATTCAGCTCAGCAAGCGCAATAACGAGGTATATGCATTGAGAAATTCGACGCACTTTTGGATGGCTGGCTAATCCCAGTCTGGGGGCAAGAGAGAATTGGACAAAATGAAGCGCTTGTAGTTGGACTTGACGTCCTCAGGCTATTCTAGGAACTGAGAAACCGCTATGTGTGGTAATCTAGCTCATGTTTTATTCTGTTGATAATTAGCGTCCTTTACGTTTGAAGTAATGGTGGATTCTACATTGAAACACTTGAACGTGTAGGCAAACAGTTGTCTAGAATAGTCTCCCAGGAAGGATTCCCTATTCACTGTATTTTCACAACCAAAAATCGGGCCTTCCTATCGTGGCTAACTGGTGAACAATACGCCAGCTATGAGGAGATGCTTCAGCGCCGTCTATCCTGGACTCATACCGTAATGCATTCGGCATTGACTGCCGAGTTTCGAAAACTGCCCGCTACACCATACGCCCGTCGAGACATGGAAGAACAACGGTGAATAACAATCCCTACTGGAGTCTGTAGTATACTTAATTAGCAAATACGTATCATTAGGTGGATCAGGGCATATAATTGCCCGATTACGGAGTTCTGTCAATTGTAAGCTGAAAGATTTAGACACAATTATATCGAGAGCAATGCTCAGGTATTCTCTGGACAGACAGCTTACCATAAAATATATATTCAATTTGAACAAACAGGGCGTTAGATAGGGGCTAGTCGCTCAGAATTGGCCCTCTGGATGGGCCAATGCCCTAAGAAAGCATTCACAACCAAGCCTATGGGACGAGTAGAATGAGTGCTTCCCTTCCATACCTCTCCCGTAAGGAAATGCATTATCTCTCTAATGGACGACCATTTTCTATTCTTCAAGAATCGATTCTACCAAAATAGGGTTAATTATATTCCACTTTACGTCTTTCTCGCTACCTTACATGGTGATGGCGTCCCAAAAGGAAATACTTAGGGCCACTGATAAGATTGATAAGTGGAGAACCGCCGAAACGCGTTAAATCGCGTCTCCGCGTCTCAGCTCCCCACCACCAATCGATCATACTCTTCATCCATACTGCAGTAATTCCAAATATACAAAACGTTATCTTCTTGCAGACCAATTCTCCCTATATACCTTTTTGAAAGAAAGCTACAGCATCAACATCGGACGCACAATGCCAACAATCCCGCTCCACCCACGCGTCTCCTCTCCCACCTCTCTCCCCAATCCCCTCCCCCAAGTCCTCCAGACGCCAACTGGACTCGCAATCCTCGAACTCCAAGGAACGTTCAACCTCCCATCGCAAGAAGCTGAAGACGAATCTACGACCTCGCCCAACGATACCCATGACCCCTCAATCCCCACATTTGAGACCCCAGTTGGCAAGCTCATGTTCCCCGATTATTCGCCGCACTGGACTGCACCTGATGACACTAAATGGATGAAGAGGGTTTATCTATATGTCGGTCGATACCAGCGCATGACGGGCGAGGTGAAGAAATTGGCGCAGCCGCTCGCTTTGGTGCAGCGGCGGCAAAAAGAGACGACCTCTGGCTCCGATGGCGAGGAACTGGAGATCGTCGAGATCATCAAGTATAAGCTGTTCTTTAAGAATCGGCCAGAGCCCGTCAATGATAGTTGATTCAAATCGGCTTCGGACTGCGTTATGAATCGGGTAGAGGGTCGTCTAGACTGGTTGGTGCCTTGGATCCCGTGGTGCCGTATGCTGGCAGACTCGCGACCTCGATATCTACGCAGGCAAACACTGCCGTTTGCCCCCAGAGCTGAGATGTGCTCTTCTGCCTGAAATGCGGTCGACGACAAAGGGCAAGAGAGCAGTCGGCAAGAGCGTTGCGGTTAGCTTTAGCCTAATAGGCTATGGGATATTACTCCTCCGTGTACAAGGCGAGGGCTACTATCTAGACACGAATTGTCTACTACCGCATTCAAAGCTGCGACTCAACTGGGACAATGACATAGCGGAGAAACCGCATGTCCTCCCCGACGGAATCTACAGTCAAAATCATCACTAGTACTTTGGCTCTCATCGCGTATATGCCCGCTCAGCCATAATTAAACACGTGCAGATAACCCAATGGGACCCGAAAAATCAAGGTTCAAGGGATCTGAATAGTCTCAAAGGACATCACGGAGGTGGGTGGGCAGCGTCCCTGATTCCGCGGGATCGACAAAAGAAATACCCGGACGGAAATTTGCGTCCAAAAACGGACTTCATTCCGCACTATCGCTGCATGGAAGTATCAATTGAAAGCAAAAAAAACTCACCATGTTACTACTATTCTCGGTAGCATGCAATGCAATATCTACATCTTTATCCAAAATAGATCTCATTGAGTCTTACTAGTACTTACGGGCAAACAAGAAGCAAACGCAGCACTGGTAGACAACATCCGACTCCAGCCGATATCCGAACTCCGTCGGAAGAGAAACGACACAGCTCAATCCATGTTTCATGGCCAACTGTAAGAAAAGAACCAAGTACTAGAAATTCGCAATAATAACTGGGTCCAATACCGTACGCTTTAAACTCACCCAATTACCCCGCCTTACCCGTATATGGTTATGCCAATCATAAATCCGTCCCCGTCGGAAGTATATATACTCGACCATACATCCTTTCTCCCTTCCGTAGATTATATCCAGAACATCGCAAACCACCACCTCTCTATAAATTTACATTCACCTACCTATCCCCAGTACCAAGGTCCTAGCTACCATAAATCACCTCACCGGCTCAGCAACCAGACGAGGAAATACTAAAAATGGCCCCCATCGAACGCATCACGCTCTTCAACATCCCCAATGAAGAAGACCGGAACCGAGTTCTAGAGCAATACAAGGTTCTAGCGAAGACAGCGACCAAGGTAAATAATCTTCGACTCTTTCCAGCTACCTCGGTGTCTATATAGAGTGATTGTTAACAAGGACTTTTGTGCAGGACGGCAAACCGTACATTCTTGCTGCCGCAGCGGGACACTCTTTCCCGGATCCCCGCAATAAAGGATACACGCTGTCCGTCAAGACAACGTTCGCTTCTTTGGAGGATATGAAGTACTATGACACCGAGTGTGAGGCGCACAAGGCTCTGAAGGCTGTGGCTGGGCCGGTTAAGGAGGATGTTTTGACTACATACTATGAGAGTGTTCTGTAAATGATTATGGATTTCTCTTTTTCTTTTCTTTTCTTTCTTCTGACTCGAGGTTGGATGGGGCTAGATTGCAAGCCCGTAACCTTGAATAATATGTATTCATGACATATACTGCATAAGTTAGGGTCTCTTATTCTGGTAATCAAGAAAATATCCGCTACACTAAGTCAGACACTGAAAGCATCAGAGGGATCAAGCAGGGCGAGACCGGATGTGGTCTGGAAATGATCAAGTCACTCGTAACATGAAATCGCTTCATAAGATGCCTGCTCATAAAAAATCTCGGCACGTTGCCGAGAACTCGCGCTGCGTGGGAAAGGGAACATGATGATACAACAAGCATTTGTCCTTGCCAGAAGGCCTCGAAACGGACAAATCCTGAGCCGCTCCGTTAAAGAAATGTACATGCAAGTCGGAGACCAGGAAAGTGAAGATTAAAATGGTTGAAACCAGCCAGATGAGGAGGTCCTTCACATTTGGACAGGTGAAATGTACAATAAAAAGCTCACACAGGAGTGGAATCTAATCAAGGGCCTTGCGGAGATCGCTCCATTTTTGTTTCAGATTCTCGTAGTCTTCATGGATCTGCAGCGAACAAACGTTAGATCTTACTTCCTAGACGGCAAGTATGCGGTGCGGTTTACCTCTGCCCACTTCATCTTCGCCTCCACGAGTTCTTTTTCCATTTCCGCCATTTGCTCCACCATTGACCGGTTTTCGTTCTGAACCTCCATGTTGCGCTTCATGATGCGATCCATCTCGGTTTGGAGCTTCTCTTCGACCTCTGCCGGCTGTTGGTCCACTACAATCTTCAGGTTCTTGACCTGCATATTCAAGGCGTCGTTCAGGTCAGTTAGCTCTTCATTTTCTACTTTGAGGTGGACAAGTTCAGAAGCAAGGTGAACATGCTCTTTGTCCGACGCCTCAGCTTGTTCTTCCAGTAATCGGATCCGGGCACTCTGTGTGGCTACCGTATGTTTGAGGTTCTCTAGCTCCTGTTCGCGTTCCCGTTCAGTCCGTACTTTTTCCTCCCATTCCGCCGTGTAGGCGCGAATCGTCTCACGATCAAGAGGAACAGCACAGGCATCCTGGACCAACAAGTCCGCGCGATAAACTTCCTTGTCAGCAGCCCCCGAGCTGCCGAAAAACCCAGACTCGAGGATCGACGACGCTGAGGGCTGTTTGTCAATGTAGACATCGAACAAACGCTCCTTGAGGAACGAGGTCAGTGGAGTCATGTCTTTCATGCCCAGAAGCGCCTCGGAGTTTCGACGCATAATGGCGATCGCAAATTTAAGAATTGTATTTTCAAGTCCCTCATCAAGAATGAGATCGTAGATGCGGAGAACTAGTTGTAGGGGGAAGCGATATGCGAAAAGAGTCAGGAACCACTGCGTGGCATACAACTGCGGGTGTACCCCTCGCCGGCGAAGGTGGCAGTATAAGGCAGGTTCCATGTCCTCGAGCAAGCGCTCGAAAAGGAAAAGGCTGCGGTGCAGACCAGGCATATCATGGATGAACATCTCCCGTAAGCCATAGTGATTCATCAACTTGACCAGCAGCGTGAATGCTTCAGCCTCATCCATCTTCAAGGAACGTATGTTAGCATGGGGATTTTCTTGAGGCATGCATTCAGATCACTTACATTAAATAGCAGTGGCATAACAATGAAATTCATGCCCTGTGCATACCCCACGGCCTCGTCATACAGAGCGTACGCTTTACACAAACCAAATAGACCTTCCTGGTTACCTTGCGACACAAAATAACGGGAATAACTCGTGCGAGCACCCAAGTCCCGCCGAATAGTCTTTTCCAGCTTCTGCAGGGCCACACCGTCTTCCTTCTCCTTCTTTTTCCGAGCCGCCTCGCTCGCAGCCTGCTCTTTTGCCAGTTTTTCGGGGTCCACTTCGTGTGAAGGGCTAGGGGACCCGTTGACCGAATGCGCGGCCGACCCCGAATGTTCGGAGCGAATGGACGATCGAGATGAAGATGCGGACTCTTTCTCTCCATTTGTCGTGCCATTAGAAATTCGGGATTTTTCCTTTTCTGTGCCACGCGCAACCAGTTCCCGGTAAACTTCTTCAAGTTCAGGGTTTCTGCTGTCAGCCAGGACTTGCCAGATGACCCCTCGAATGGTCTGCGGGATTCCTCGTTTGATGGCGGCGTTCAACTCTTCGGAGTTCGCGCCCTTCAGCGCCTGGAGACCACCGTTGACTAGTTGCTGCCATAGCTCCCAATCGACAGGTGCCGCGGCGTCAGTTGCAGAGGCTGAAAATCCAGAGACTGTTCCCGGGGCGAGATTTGGGTTCACCGTCGGTGGCACATTGGGCGGCGAGCTTGCTGTTGTAGCTGCGGAATCGTTCTCGCCTTCTTCTGGGATGCTTGGGGGCGGGCTTCCAGCGGATTGACTAATGCTTGCACGTCCCGACGCGACACTTGCTTCGTCATTCTCCGAAACTAACCCTTCATCCCGCATTCTGAGCATTTTAAACTGATCCTTCAAGCTGTTGCGAGCCGGCTTTCGAGATCCCGTGCTCGCACCATCATGATCCTCACCATCCTGTGTTCGGCCGGCCAATTCAGGATTACTGGAGATTGTGGATATAGAAGCGGCCGTGCTCCGGCGACTGTTTTGAGGCGGTGATTTCGTCTCTTTGCTCCCCGTCGAACTCCGAGTAAGCCAGGCAAATGGGCCTGTAAGCTTTCGAGCTGGTGGTGGCGGCGGTGCAGCAGAGGCTGTGTTCTTGATCACAGGAGCAGGGTCTGACAGGCGGGGATTCTGAGCCGACATCGACTCCCTAGCGGGTAACGGGGGAGAGCCAGGGTTGTGGCCTGGGCTTAAATCATGGTTCTCGAAGGACTCATCGTCTTTGTTGTTACTGGCGAGATTCACCTCGTCGAGGGAAGTGGTAGACAATCGGTGAGCCGTCAACAGTGGGGATTTCTGTAATTTTTGTTTGCGAGGCGTTTCCTCCGCTTCCGACCGTGTGTCTGAATGAGCATCAACTGTCTCTCCATTTGTCTTCACTTCGTCCTGGTCAGCGGTTGGCAGGGAGGGCACATCGGTTAACTGAGGTGTGGTAGCCGAAGCGCTCGGGGGACTGTCTGTCAGGGAGCGGGTGGAAGAACTCTGGGGAATAGACACGGTGAGGTTGTTTTGAGATGTTGGAGCTTCCAGGGCATCGTCGAAGGTATCCTGGTCAAAGAGTTAATGAGTTTAGATTCCTAAAAATCATGGGGCGCTGGTAGTATCTTACTCCTTCATAGTCTCTGCTACTCCGTCTAGACATGATGAACCGGAGCCCCCTGGGGCAGTTGAATAAGTCTGTTCAAGGTGTCCAATCGAAAATTCTAGGATCACAGTCGGTATTGGAATATAAAAACAAAGTATAAAGGGTGATCAGAAGAACGGAAGGGCCATGGCAAGCAGGGGGAAGGAGGTTGTGAGACAGACAGAGTGGAAGCCACCACGCGGTTCGGTTTAGTTGTTTAGTTGACGGAGAAGGGGTTGGATATGGAATGGGCCCCAACAGCCACCAGTGGAAATGGGCCACTTGAAGGGGGTGTGAAAGGCAGAAGGAATTTCGAGGTTACGAAGGATTAAAGATAAAAATATAAATAAACCCAGACACTAAGGGTCGGGGTATATGACCTTTCTGCGGACTTTATGAATAATTTTTTTATTTTTATTTTTTTCCCTCTATACTCCGTGGTATGTATGGTGTATTATTGAGGAGAAACTCGACAACTTGCACTATCTCAATGGGATCTTTGGTAACCTTGGGTTGGTTTGCTGGTGAAAGCTTGGCAGGTCTAGAGTTCCGGTCAAACATTATAATCAGTGCGTACTTTCTTTTTTCCCTCTTGTTTCCTTTTTGATTTTAATATTATTTGATTGCTCATTCGTTTCCTTTTCACCATCGATGATCTCCCTTGTCCGGATGTACATGTGGTTGAAATTCAAATGTTGTATGTATATATCTCGTATTTTGACTACTAGTTTAGTATCTACTAGTAAGTATCAAGTGTTGTAAGTAAACATTCCTGAAACTCCCCTGAATTTCTCCCATCCACGGATGAAAAAAACCTATTGGTCCCCACAGCCCAACTAAATAGTACTCGTACTAGAATGACACCAAACTAAACTACCGACTAACCACCACCAATACTGCGTAATTCGGCCTATAGGAATTAGGGAGTTGATCCGATGAAAAGGTAATTCCGCACTGTGCGTTCTATGATATGTTTATACAGAAATGGTGAAGTAAGGGGGTGTTGCCTTATCTGCAGAGTGAACGCTCAAAATCCAGCCACCGTCCCTGCCTAAGCGGGTCTATTTTCTTCAATTCCGAGATCCAGCTCAAAACCTTTTGTTGATCGCCGCTGGACATGGTGCCTTCAATTTTCGATGCCAACAAGGTACAGTCGATTAATGCCTGGTAGATGTACTTACAATCCTCCGCCCCGTCCAGCATATCCTGAATCTCCTCGATCTCTTGGTGGACATAGTCCAACCGCTCCGACTGACTGAGGTTTGGTGCCATCGTCTGCCCTGATGTAGCTGGGTCAAATGTGCACATTAAGTTTTGGTGATAAAACCATAGTGACTGGTCATATGGGTCACACAGGGCGCGATGGATAAGCTCCAGTTCTTAGGTGCATTAGCGAAGAAAGCGATCATTTCTTATGTAAGACAGAGAAACGTACCGTCATTGAGCATCGTTCTTCGTTCCGCATCAGTGGCTGATTTCTCATTCAGCAATCGCTGGATAAGCTTCGTCCGATAATGCCACGCGGAAAAGTTAGAGAGATTGGTCCCAATCATCTTCTTCGCATACTCGAATTCTGCCTCCGCCATACTCTCCCCCTGTTCTTCAGATGTAAGTGTCTCTAACGTGTCCACGACAACTCGTCGGTAGCCCCAGCCATGGAAATTTCTGCTGTCTAGGCGAAGCATTTTGCCCACAAGCACCAACTCTTCTTCCCAAATTCTTCGGGAAATGAAGAGCGGCAGCAGACGTTTAGCTTCATCTAGGAGCCATAAACGATAGTTCCATATCCAGTAGCACTTAGGAAAACTGCGCAGTAGCGGCATCAGGAACAGCAGGTCATTCTTGATTAAAGTTGTTATCTGGTCCGCTGCAGCTTCATTCGAGTCGCTTGATGCAGCCTGTGTAAATTCGTGCCGCAGAACCCGGCGTCGATAGTTCCACACCGTGTAGTACTCCGGATTTTTGGTCAACAATTCGGAGATTTTTTGAAGTGTTTCAGGTGTATACTGCTGTTCTGCAATCTGGATGACCTATCAGAACACCGAGTATATTCTGAGGAACAAAGCGGATATACCTTCGCACGGACTAACTGATCCAGCTCCTGGTATTTCTCTATTTTGCGAAGCTCTTGTTGACGAGTTTCTTCGGATTTCTCCTTCGAGCTGTGGCGGGGTATCCCATGCTGCCGAACCATCCATCAGTAGGTGTGGGTTATGCGGAGAGAAGATTAAAAATTACGCTGGCCATGTCGACCTGTTGTCTATCTATGCAGCACCTGACTAGTTGAGACGTGTCACCACCAAAAAGGTATGGGTTTCTCAAGTCTACTAGTAAGGAGAACGATGGAGTAGAAGTCACGGGTGCTCGACTCCGTTTGGAGTGCTTTCCCTATCAGGACGTCACGTGTCACGGTATACTACATTTCCCTCATCTAGGCGAGATCACTGTCCACCTTCCTTCAGCTTCCAACTTATCTACTGTTTATCAAGGGATATGTTATTGCGTTACAACCCAATAGTTTTATACTCAGGGTCTAGGTTTCCATGATCTAGGCCCGTACCGCCATTCTTTTTTAACTTCAAAGCATTCCAGAGCTGACCATAGCATTCAATTATTACGTCTATTGCAGGCTGCCAACTGCAACAGTTGGGCATTGCCATAGCAATGATAAGCTCTAAATGCTGTGTATTGCAGAAGCGAGATCCTCACATGGAAAGTGGCCCGTCAACGCCTGAGCTCATCTCAGACATCTCTAGTGATGACGACTCTAATCTATCAGTTGACCGCGCTATTACTCCACCGCCCCTCATAGGGCCTGTCACTCATTGTACAGCTAATCTAAGTAGCGCCAGCTCGTCTTTTTCAGGGGAGTACAAAGGCCCTCGCCCAGTTCCTCCCCCTGTGCCTGTGGCGAGCAAAAGACACCATGCTGTCTGCAACTCAAAATACCCACCTGTGGTGGTGGATGGTGTTGCCAAACAAGCATTATCGCCTGTCAGAAGTCAGCCTAAGGTTAAAATATGCACTCTAACTAATGCAAATGGCGACCTTTCGAAATCTCCAGCCTCACCGGACAGGTTCATTCCCGTTAGGCAATTTATGAATCCACCGTCGACCTTATTTCGTGTTAGCAAAAGCCCTCAAGAGTTATCCCCTGAGGAGAGATTTCTGCGCCATCGTTCACAGAGAGAAGATCCATTTATGTCAACACGTACAAGACGGTCTGCGACCACTCCCGGAGTACCCTCGAGGCGTCCACTACGACTGTACTATGGACCCCGCTTTATCGATATTCCGGTCATCACAGGGATTAATAGCTCATTGAATCAAGAAGCTGGGTATAGACAAGTGAGTAATGGGGCTGTCTGGCATGTTGGTGGAGCATCTGCTGCCGTAGGCAGACGATCCAGAACAACTTCTAGCCGCTCTGGGGGGCCCTTGACAAGTGGAACAGCTGCTCCCATGTACAATGCTAGTTTCTTGCCACCTGTAGAATCAACTGAGGAGCAATCCAAATACGAGTCAAGGGTAGCTCTTGCACTGGATATTGACCCAGCAAGAACCCTTCTCAACAGTCACCACGGTTGGCCACTACTTGAGTCCACCCCAGCTCCATTCTCTCCCCTCTACGAGCGATTCTCGCCGTTGGTCTGGAAAGACAATGCATGGAAGAAGGCAGAGAAGAATAGGTGTAAGTACAATTTATTTTCTAACTGCAGATGCTGCTGCATGGTTTCCGGCCACCCATGGTCTCTCCAAACCATCTAACCCCATTCCCATTGTAATATTAGGGAGTACTACACCTATACCAAGAAAAGACAGTGCAAGGATTGTACCAACGCTACCGTTCCGTATACTAGACGCACCCAATCTGCGCGATGACTTTTATTGCTCAACACTAGCATATTCCACCACTTCGGGGATTCTTGCCGTCGGCCTTGGCCACCATGTTTACCTTTGGTCTGAAGCTTTTGGCGTACAGTACCCACCTTTTCCTGACCAACATCCCTCGAACTACGTAACCTCTTTGTCTTTCTCCTCTGAAGGTGGAGAGAAAGGCATTCTGGCTGTTGGCAGACATTCCGGTACACTCAGCCTTTGGAGTGTTTTTGATTCAGAGATACGCTTTGAAATCAATCACCCTTATACAATCACTTGCGTTGCATTCAAGCATGTAAAGTCGCGCAGAATATCAGAGAGATTCCAAAACGCCGAGGTAGATACAGAAGATCTTGCTATTGGTGATGATTTGGGTAATATCTGGTACTACTCAGTTGAGTGGCCTGGCGATGAGATCCGGGAAGATTTTGACTGGCAAGGCTCCATGACCCTGATTGCCAAAATATCGGCCCATACACAGCAGGTTTGTGGCATATCCTGGTCTCCAGACGGAGTGTTTCTTGCTACTGGTGGCAATGATAATGCGTGTATGCTATTCGAGCTGCAGGATATCATTCCCCCAAGGGAATTAGGCATAGCCTCGAAGTACCCGAATACGCTACGACAGAGTTGCCTCAATTCATCAGTGGAGAACACGTATCAACTACTCTTACATAGGCACTTCATCGCTCGCAGTATATCTACATCTTCCCGTGCTAGAATCGCGCCTCTATCAACAGCTCTCCTCAGCCGTGTGGGATCACTCATCTCAGATCGCGACCGAACGGTCATAGTGCCGCCAAACTATCAGAAACATCGACTTGTTCATTCTGCGGCGGTTAAAGCAATAGCATTCGCTCCCTGGCAGCCATCTCTTTTGGCCACTGGTGGGGGCTCTAATGATCGCGCCATTCACTTCTACCACACGCCGTCTGGCGCATGTTTAGCCACTATCAATGTCTATGCTCAGGTGACTGGCCTTGTTTGGAGCAAGACAAGGAGAGAGATTGTCGCCACCTTTGGCTTCGCCCAACCAGAGCATCCATTCCGAATTGCTGTCTTTTCCTGGCCAAGCTGTGAGCAGATCGCTGCAATCCCCTGGGGCCCAAACGGTAGTAGTTGGGATCGTATAGAGAATGAGTCGAATGTTGATTGCGGCCGAGCCCTCTGTGCAGTTAGCTACCCCTGCAGGCCTCCTACTTATGTGCTTGATAAATTAGACAGCCCCGATGGCTCCTCCATATCTAGCTTAGTACATCAACTGAGGTCGAACAGGAAAGGAGGAAGTGTACATTACCGGCAGGCAGTTGTGCGGCCTAGGGCCAAAGAAGGAGGGCTCTGGTGTCCACGCACGATCGAAGAAGGATGTATCATTGTGGCTTCTAGTGACCAGAGTGTCAAGTTTCATGAGGTGTGGAGCAGTGGGAGAAAACAAAAAGCTGCAGCTTCTGGACCATACGGTGGCAGTGAGATCCTTGAGGGTATCGAAGGCTTGGAAGCCCCAGGAAAGGAAGTCATTCGTTGACATTGGAGCTTCGGTATGCAGAGCTTCCTGAATCATTGGCAACTATATCCTTAGTCCGTTAGCTTATCATGTCATGCATGTATCCTTATGGGGCACTGTAATACACAGGTCATGGCTATGAATCCAGCATTCTTTAAGACAGGGTGGAGCCTAGTCGCCTGTTACTCCAGTAGGTCTCAGTCAAAGTCCAGTCCAGTTCCTATTGCTGGATATGTTGCAATGGTCATGAACGAGTAGGTCGCATTGGTCGCCTGGGGACGGGAATACCTGAGGAAATAGTGACTCCCGTTAACGCCACCAGCCTCTAAGTATTCCATGGCGGCAAAAAAGTCGGAATCACATCATGGAGGTAAGCGATATGTATGAGAGCCAGAGGCAGGACACTAGGAAGGTGTGATAGCGAGCAAAAAGATTTTAATACGAAACGTCAGCGACAGGATTTGAACCTGTGCGGGCGAACCCAACAGATTTCTAGTCTGTCGCCTTAACCACTCGGCCACACTGACTCCGATGAAGTTATAATAACTGGTTTTGTTTATAGGAGGGTAGATAGATTCCAGTCTTGCAACACAGGCTCTGATGAACTATACATTTCCTCTAGGAAGGTGAACACGCAAGGGGCGAGCTCGATTCTTATGTCTCTAGTGTGTGGATTTAGTTTAACTGTATTCATTGAATTGCTCAGTACTGATGTCCTTGAAACATCTTGTGATCTTAGCATGTCCGTCTTGTCCGCAGGGTTGAAATACAGTGGGAGGAATGGGATGGGTACTTTTGCCCTGAGGAGATATAGCGACCAGGTTAGGGACTGGTGGTGCACTAGACTCCGTAGGTAGAATGCAGCGTTCAGCTTTGGTGGTTTTACCTGTACGGCTTGTTTGACATGGGTGGTCAATCAGGTAGCAATGATCCTTAGACCAATATGCTAGGACGGCTTGCGGGTGTATGCATGTACATGTGGTGATACCTGGGAACATCGCGCCAGTTTACATAAGAGGCCAAGTAGCTCGGTACTACGCTGAGGACAATGTCTTGTTATGGATACCTGGGGATAGGGCAAAAAATAAATGGAAAAAGAGAAATACCGTCAGCGACAGGATTTGAACCTGTGCGGGCGAACCCAATAGATTTCTAGTCTATCGCCTTAACCACTCGGCCACACTGACAATTGATATACTTTAGGAAAGTATTTAACAAAATAAGCCTGTTAGAAGAGCAACCCTGCCTTTTTCGTGCTTTGATAACCCATGTACATTCTAGAAAAACAGGTGATATCAGTTGACTGTAAATGACTCTGTATGTCTCTATTAAGTTCGTTAGTTACTGCCTATATTATCACTGGCTTGTCTTTGAGTGGTATCTATACTAGTTCCTTATTACTTTGTGGTATGGTGTTGTCGGTTGGTGTTTATATATATCCACCGATACAGGTGCGAGGTACCTCCCAGTACAAAACTAGGCCAAGGCGCAATGTTCGAGAGAAAAAATACCGATAATACACATATGCTATGAACACACAAGAATACAGCATCCACCCAAAGGACCTCATTTGATCGAGGCCACCTTACCCTACCGTCGCCTACCGCGTAGTGCCCGTGCAGTGGATAGACAGACCCAAAGCATGTATATAGGTGTTTGCCTACGAGTAAGGAGACACGTGCAAGGCGATAGGTCTAAAGACCGAGAAACCTTGGATTTGTACGTGTTCACCCCCATGTCAGCAACCCCAAAACATATATCAGCACGGTAGATGCATGAAGATAGGTAATAGATGGTAATAGCAAGCTAACATAGATGCCAGTGAACAATGTCCCCATACATTATAATCGGAGTACATAAAACA